AATATATAAAGTACATTTTGTTTATTATTACATAATGAACGTTGCTATCACATGTAGGTTTCAGTGCTGTAATAATGTATTGGGTCTGTGAAATGCGTGCAAAGTATAGACCAGTATATACAGAGGGTTATTGACACTGTAATACTAGATTATGTTGAATGGCGGCGACAGCGGTGCTACATAAAACAGTTATAAACTTTAGACATGCTTCGAAAACTGGCTCTAGGTTACGTAATAAATGAATTAATAACTCGAAATGGAAAGATACTGATGTTTCTTGAATAGGAAACTGCTTGTAGCACGACAGCGTAAATTCTACTGATTCCTGGGTGATGTCAGGGAGATGGTATATTCCTGATAAAACAGGAAATCTTGTATGAAATATCAATCTCCCTTACACTTTCACAGTTGAGCGTCATTTGTAGCACTCTTTTTATAGAGTCAGTGGTGTGGCGCTAATCTCGGTCTTCAAGTAATCATTCAAAAGTGCGTTGACGTTCTTCTTTAAGGCTATTTTTTTGGATTGGTGACAACTCTAGCACGTAGTTTGCTATTTCCTTCGCATATTTTTCCTCTGAAAAAAAAACAGTCCAAATAGACTTATTTATTTATGATGTTATGCTGATTCTTAGCTACCTGTCATGTGTACGAAAGTGAGTTACAACCATAAGAGGCCTCATCAGACAGCAGGGCATGCGTCACATGTTCTCGGTATGACCCCACCAAAACACAATGTTCCCTATTATTGCAGAACAGCGGCTTACTAACGATTTCTTGGCTAACTAACTTTCTTGGCACTTAAATTCATATCACCTGTAGAATTGACCTAGATATCTCTAAAATGCAAAACAGATTTATTTATTTTCTCTTCATTTCTTGATAAGTAATTAGATAAACCTCGATTATAGATACAACTTTGAGTGAAATACTGACGCATATGCTCCGGTTGTGATTATTTAGACAGTTCATTTTAATGGTTATGAGGTTTGTCTGATATCGATCGAGGTATATTAAGTATTGCTTTTTATGAAAATCATTATGATAAACAGAGGAAGAAAAACAGTTTGAACCTTCGGTGAGAACTGAAAGCTAGTTAGTTGGTCGAGGAATTGTTTTTCGCTTTTTTAGCACTGTATTTGATAGACAAAGTTTGTAGGTGCAACATCACTGATCGCTGATTGTCTACGAACCTAAGTGACTTTGTTAATGAATTAAGTGATCAGTAATGTTCGTTTAACGCGGGTATTAAGATTATCCATTTAAAGGGCTGGTTGCGAAATGAAACAGAAGTGTAGTTAACATGCAAAAAGGTGTAAAACGAGCGAAATGCATGCAGAAGATATAATTTAAGTTAATATAGTTGCATAAAGCAACAGATTGTTTATTACAGGTGATTTTCAACAGCAGGGAGTGGTTACGAATTACACCTAAGCGCCATAATGAACCTGAGAAAGAAGTTATAGTTATGCTTACTACATACAACCTGCCAGTAAGTTCAGTGTTGAGTAAACAGTTAAATACAGGAAAAAAATCTTCTGATCATCGACGTTTTGCCAAGTCACAAAGCTGCAACTTGTTGAAGATTTGTGATTTCGATTTGTCTCAGCGTTTTGTATTTCTTGAGTTTAGTTTTAGTTTTCAGAAGTACAGTTTCAAATATTTGTTTTATAGGGTATTTGCTGTATGTTCTCATTATCCGGTGTTCCGCTTTGTGCGACTGATTTTATGTTCATTTTTCAGATTTGAACCACTGTCAAATTTTGCTGAGGCTTGGGGAATAACACCTATAAACTCCACGTTTCCATTGGACTAAAAGCAAATTAGTTGCAGCCAGTAGCGATATTTACAGAACTGCGATCACTGGATAATGATATGCATAGCTCGATTCAGCTAAAGGGTCAGATTGTCGCTTGTTGAAAGCATACTGATCAAAATTTACAGAGCGTCAGCAAAGCTGTTTTGATTAATCTGTCTCAAAGAAAGAGTTCGAAATTTAATTTTGATACCTCGCAGTTTCAGCTGAAGTGGCCTTTTTAGTACTGAGATTCTGCTGCATTTCTCATCGCATATGCGTTCTTTTACGACCAGCTTTATGTTCGCATGAATCATCAAGATTTCGTTAGAAAATAAAGTTTGAATCTTACCCAATAAAAGCTGACGCAATTCATGCACATGTGGTACAGTGCTACCTGCACGCTTGGTTGATGCGGTGATGATGCCCATTGTGAACACTTCTCAAACTGCTTCAACTTTCTGATTCCGTTGGGCAGAATGGATGTTGATTAGAAATTGTTATAGCTGCTGGAGACTTGCAGCCCGAATGAACTGCCAAACAACCGCATGCTAAAACGCTCACGATATAAGATTTGAGAAGCTTATGCTTATATCACATTCACAAAGGATGAAGATTAAGTGCCTTAAATGAGCTCACT